TATTCAGCCGTATGGGGCCAGGACTATACCAAGACATCAGCGTCTACTGCACGACTCGAGTCTTTCCATTGGAGCGGTAGCTCCAGCCAGTGCTGATGGTCGATGATGCAAGATGATGTGGTTCGATGTGTCTACTGCTGTGCCTCTAATGTCTCCTCTATGCTGACTAAGCTCTCGAACCTCCGCAAAACCTCTGCTCCTATGATCCTCCTGCTAGGGGTGCCCCACTCCAAGTGCCCCCCTAAAAAAAACCGGCAGCGTCCTCATCGCCGTTTGCTAGTCTCCTCCTTGTGCCTTCTCGTCGTCTACTCTTCGCTTCTCTGCTGCTCTTCGTTCTCTTCCTCTTCACTTTCTGCTAAGTCTTCTTCCTCTTGTTCTGATTCTTCTTCGTCGTCGTGGTTCTCTGTCACTTTGGTGCGTTCTTCTTCGTCTCGTTCTTCATCTTCCTTCTGCTTCGTTGGTCGTTCCTCAAACTCCTTCTGTTCTTCTGCCAATTTGGTTCCTTCTCGCGGTGCGAATGACCTTAGTTGTCTTGCATGAAATTCTCCCGCTATCTCATCTCCTTTTAACGTTTCCAATTTATACGAGTTGCGAAATTGCCGGGTGATTCGATGTGGTGGTGACCATTTGGGTAATAGCTTGCGTGTTGCGTCAAATGTGTAATCGAGACTACTGCGATAGAACTGAACTAATTGTCCTTGATAGAAGACTACCTCACCTGGTTTCCATTCAAGAACCCTCTTATCAAAGGCCGCTTTACGTTTGATCGCGTGCCGAACTGCAGCGTCGTAACCGTCGAGCTGTTGTTGCGCCACATAGGCCATCTGTGTGCTAGTGTCCGATGTGCGTATTGCTGATGTGCTGTTGCTAAGATCTGTGCGAGGTGTGTTGAAGACCTGCCCAAGTAACAGTTCTTTTGGTGAGAACTTTAATGCTGGGAGTATACGGTGGTTGAGGGCTGTTATAGCGTCATCTAGGTGGTCCGGCCAATTAAGGGGAAGTTTGTCCCATGATAATCCTTCGTAATCGTCCTCTCCTAGATTCGGAGCGCATAACCTCTTCAGCACGTGCAATAGGATTTTGTTCGTGCCCTCAACTAATCCGTTGATCCATGGTGAGTACGCGGCCACCACGTGAGTATTACAATTCCACTTAGCGCAAAAATTCCTAACGATCTTGTTGTTGAAGTGTTTCCCACCGTCTGACATGAAGGTTTCTGAGGCTGTAAAATTCTGAAAGATGTGCGTCAGCCCTTGAACTGTGGTTACCGCTGTCCCTGATTTGCACTTGAATGCCCAAATATGTTGAGAGAATGTGTCTAGGTACACCCCTAGGGTGTTGTATCCTCTGGCCTTCAGTAATGTGAGATAGTCTCCTACTAGAAGTTCGAATGGGTGCCGCCAGCATTATCGGTTCTAGTAATGAGTGAAGGTGAGGCGTACCGAAGTTTTTGCATCTGCTACAATCACTTATTGCCGTCATGATGGATGCGTCCAATCTTGGGCTATATATGCGGTCTGTTAGCGCGATCTTGACTGCATCTCATCCCCAGTGTCCACCTTCTTCATGTTGCTTCCTGGCTAGTTCTTGAGCCTCTTCTCGCGTGACACATTCGACTCTGCTGCTGTGCTCTTGCCATGGTACCTCCTCGTAGCCGCCATAATTTCCCTTCATCAATCATATATTGGGACGCCCTGTGCCTAGCTTGTTTCCGTTCCCGGACTTCCTTTCCTTGGTCGATCTGCAGCATGGCCTTGATGACCTCTAGGAACACTGGTTCTTCGGTGAATTGTTGCACAAGTTGTGATGCTACAGAATCGTCAACATTAGTGGTGATTTGTAGGAGATTGTTGACCAAACCTGAATTGGACTCCCAGTCTTCACTGACAGTCCATTCACTTCCGTCCAACAGTCCGATGTCTCGTTGGTGTCCTTCCCATTGCCTGCTTAGTCCGTCTGCAATAACATTGAGCTTCCCCAGGACTGTGTCTGATGTCAACTATATTGTGGGCCAGTATACCGTCTCTCCATCGTGCGTGAGCTGCATTTAGGTGGTTGCTGATAAGTACGTCTTTGAGTGCCTGACAGTCCATTTCGATTTCGACTGGGAATCCCCATATGGTATCTGAGAATTTATCTAGTCCAAATTTCAGTGCGGCGAATTCTAAGAGAAATGGCTTATAGTTTTGTTCAGTTGAGGACGTGTGTTTCGAAGAAAATCCTATTGGGTGCAGTCTTTCGGTCCATTTTCCTGATGGACTTTGAGTACGAGTCCGTTGAGATAACACCGCTGCAAAGCCCTCTGCGCATCCGTCCGGTGTGACAATGAAGTTCGAGCCATCATACTTCGGGGCTTGTAAGATTGGCTTCAATACGAGGGCTGCTTTGAGATTGAGGAGGGCCTTCGTGTGCTTTTCCTCCCATATACCTTGCAGTTTGAAACCTCGTAGAATGTGTCTATACGAGTTTTTTGTGTACGGTGTTGTCAAAGGTGCTGCCTTAACAAGGTCGCGCAGTGGGCCTTCGCGTAATGAGTAACTTTGTATGAGGTCCCTAAAATGACTAGTTAGCCCCAAGAAGGATTCAAGATTCAATGCGTCCGGAGGCTGTTCCCAATTGACTACTGCTGTCAGTTTGGCAAGATCTGGTTGTACACCTTGTGGCCCTACAGTAGCGCCCGCAAATGTTGTCTCTGTCATGAATAAACGGCATTTTGTAGGAGATAATGAGATTGAGCGTTCACGACACCTTTGAAATATATGTTCTAACTTGTCCATCATTTCATCGAAGCTATTTGCCGCACATCCACCGTCATCAACAAACAGTTCCATGGTATCATCCGCTAGCATGTCGTGGAGATTGCTTGCTGTCATTTCCGAGAACATTGAAGGGGCACCAGTGAGTCCCATGGGCATTCTCTTGTACCAGAAATAGCCATGGCCCTCGATGTAAAACACTGTATATGGTCGTGATTCCTGTGGGACTTCAACAGCATAGAAACTGGATGCAAAGTCAAACACTGATACGTACTTATGTCCGCTGAGGCGCAGCTGTTTTGCTCCAATGTCTCCTTGGGGCATTGGGGTGATGTTAGTAACATGATTTACCTCGTTAAAGTTTTGACAGATCCTCCATTTCTGCGGTTTTGCTTCGGACTTTACCTTATCGGGGCCTTCTTGTACTTTGCGTTCCGGTAGAGTGAATGCCGGAGGTTGGCCATGTTGCAGGCATTGCTCATTTACTGCGCGTTGTAGTTCCTCGAGCGTCATGCCCTCTTGCTTGTGTGCTTTTTTGGCGAGGACTGTGCTTGCGCAACATTTGACGGCTTCTGGAGGTGCATGTTCTATGATTCCGGCCTCTAGCATCTCATCTACTTTCCCATGTAGAAATTGCAGCTGTGGGGGTGTTAGTGGGTGTTGGTGGACTCGCAAATTGAAGGTTGTTCCGTCTGGTATATCCAGGCAATGAACCGCGCCTGGTACCGGTAAGACTTCTCCTAGCGAACACGCGAATATATCAGCATATTTCGAGACTAAAGCTTTTACCTTTTCTTGTTCTTCTGCAGTGAGGTCTTGACCGTACTGAACTCGCTTGACGATCCATATTGTTTGAAGTGGATTATGCGGTTGTGTGAATCTGGTGAAGATTGCCTTGTCATCCATAAGAAAATTGGTAGGGACGTCCCTAAGGATGGAGTCGAGTTCCTCTTCTGGTATTGGACCGTCATTCAGTGCTGATGCATATGGGTACCGTATATTCGATGGGTTTTGGTGTTGATGACTCTTCCGGTGGGTGATTAGCTTGTTCTTTTGTCTCGTTTGATGATGGGTCATTGACTCGCCTCGAGGGGGGTTCTATCCCCCCCCATTTCCGATTCCTGCTTTTCCACTGTTCGAACTTCCTGTTCTTCGACTCCGATGGCGCTGTTATTCGGCGTTTGGTTGTAAAGGGTCGTTGTACCACCAATGCCTGAGACCTGGACTTCATCGACCTTATAATCATGCACGGCCTTGAACGCATGTAGTAATGGCTTTCCAAATAGGAACTTCCACCCTCCTCCACTTTGCAGTACCTCAAACTCTCCCTGTGCCTTAATTCCTCCGATGATTACTTCACCTCTCCACACTGCCTCTGATTGGACGACCGTTCCATTTGCCATTCGGAGTCATTTCGTTGATGGGCCCCAATTTCCTAATCGATGCTTGACTCGCTTGAAGACTGATGCGCACATGACGCTTGTCATTGCGCCTTCATCAAATAATGCTTGAACTCTGATTATTTCTCCGTGCGGTCCAATGAATGATGTGAACTGTAAGAATGGTGTGCAGTGTTGGTCTTTGCGCTTGTTGCTCTTAGCGTCTTCTGTCAATACAGGTCCACGACATCACATTGCTCAACTGATGCTGGTACAATGGTAGATTCTATGTCTATGCATGTTTCGACGGCGCTGATGGGGTGGTCCTCATATGTTGCCTCTTCACATACGAGGACAGGTTGTCCAGCCGTTTGAGGTGTCATCCTGTTGTGGGTCATCTGTTCTGTTCCTCTACACTGACGACCCTTGGCCTTTTCCCTGATCACACTGCTGCACGTATTCATCTTCAAATGCTACGTCAATTTGAACTGCGTTGCCACGGTTGAAGTTTCCTAATGTCTTTGCTGCGATGCTACGCCAAATCTTCTCCTGTATGGTGAGTTGTGATGCTTCCAGAACGTGACAGTCTGCTGCCATGTGTCCATGAGCTCCGCATTTGAAACATTCTCCCGAGCAAATCATGGCACTCCACGGCCGAAGGGGGAATGGGGTGCTTTCTGTGACTCTGCCGTCTGGACCATGCTTCGAGAACCACTGTTTGATCTGCTCTTCATACGCTGTTCTGCCATTGTCCGTATCTGCCTGGTGCATCAACTCCTCGGTGCGATTGCGCATTAATTCACGCTCTTCTGGTGTAAGAGGTTGGCATTGACGAAAGGATGGACGTATGTTAGGTGATGAACCTCTAGGTGCTGTAGCGAATGCGAGGTGACTGATTGAATGATGGGTATGCGGCGTTTGGTATTGCCTGTCCCACTTGGCTGGGCTCGATGCTCATGCATTGGAGTTGTAGCCTCATTACTTCCACAGCGTCTGTCTGGATGCTTTCGAGTCTGGCTAGCCGGGCGTTCTGTGTCTTCTCGATCTCTCTCTTCTTCTTCACTCCTTCCGCCTTCTCTCGCAACTTGTTCGTATCGATGTTCTTAATTTCGTCCAGAAATTTCTGCCATTCTGCTAGACTGGGTGTAGTGAGTTCCTTCATGATGGTTGGTAAGTTTTCTTGAACTTGGTACACAAGTCCCGTCGTTGTGGCTACTCCTGCTTCACTGACAAGCTGTTGAAGATTGTTGTGGAACTTGAGATGCGCCCAGGTGGCTACTCCTGCCACCATTATCTGCGTTCCAACCTCCTCATCTGTTAGGCGCAACGCTAAGATCTCGCGTTGATAGTCTAGTCCCGTCTTTTCAGCGACTGGGATTGCGGGCCAGCGTTCCATAAACGCTGTCTTCACATCTGCCCAGGTAGTCTTCTTCGAACTGTCTAGTTTGATCCACCATGTATCTGCCATCGATCCCGCAGATAACAGAGTGCTGAACACCATGACTTTCCCTGCTTCCGTCTTTAGATCGTTCAGCACGATGTACCTATCTACATCCCAAAGGAAGTTCTGGGCATTTTCATCTGCCTTTCTGTGAAACCAGTTAGGTGTGTTGCCTGCCATCCTTTTCTTTGCTGGGAGTGGCATTGACGGTTTTACTGGTGCTTTAGTTATGAACTGTGGCTTGACTGGGTTATTCACGGTTGGCGGTTTGGTGAGTGTGATAGGTGGGGCTGGCCACAATAAGGGTTGGAATGGGAGCGTTAAGGTCGAGCTCGCTTTCAACAGTTCTGGGCTTTCCTCGAAGGTTGGGAGCGTGTTTTTGTCTGGGTTCAGGGCTCCTGTCAAGGATTCCCGGTCTTCTTCTGCCTCTTCTTCTTCTGCACAGCCTAGTTGTTTCTGGACTTCGCGGGATTCATGTTCTGAATCCGAGGTGTTGGCTGCTAGCTCACTGGTTCTGAGTTCTGGTGTGTCTAATGGAGAGGATTCAGCTGAGGTTGCAGTGGAAGAGCTAGTAGAAAGGTTGGATGATTTCTTTCTAGCTGTGAATCGTCCGTTGGGCACTCGTAGGATTTTGGGGGACATTTTTGCGTTGTTGTCTTGGGCTTTGTACGTTCTTTTGGGAAAATAGTGCATTTTCGGTGCTTTCTACACGTGTTCTCTGATGGTTCTATTGTCGTTCTAGATGCGTCCTCATTGTCGTTTGTTGTGGTGCGTTTCGGTGCGTTTTTGACTAATTAGTCTATCTTGTGACACCTGATAGATCTTTCTGATGTGAAGATCAAATCCCACTCTCTCACCACGATGGAGCAGTAGCTCCAGCCAGTGCTGATGGTTGATGATGCAAGATGATGTGGTTCGATGTGTCTACTGCTGTGCCTCTAATGTCTCCTCTATGCTGACTAAGCTCTCGAACCTCCTGCTAGGGGTGCCCCACTCCACCATATTCTCACCCACCTTGGGGCCGCACTTGACTGGGAAATAGACCAGCTCGACATTAAGACTGCATTCTTCCATGGTTTACTCAAATCCGATGAAGTATGCTACATGCACCAACCCGAAGGATTCCTCGAGCCTGGGAAGGAGGACTGGATCCTGGGAACTGCAAAAGGGACTCTACGGCATGAAGCAAGGTGGACTCGTCTGGAATCGCACTATGAATGAAGCTATGCTTTCCTGGGGATTCACTTACTATCGCAAGACTGACACAGGCATTCTCCTTGTCGCTGTCCATGTTGACGATTTCCTCACTGTTGGCAGTAACAAAGCTGTTATCATGGACTTCAAGTCCCAGCTTCATACCGAATGGATAGTGTCTGACCTTGGCAAAGCACGCTTCTGTTTGGGTATTGCACTCGAGTGCAATCACACTAACCGAACAATCAGCCTCTCTCAAACTGCCCTTATTGATCGCATAATCACTCAATTCGGCTTGACAGACGCTGTTCTGGTCTCCACGCCCATGGAAACAGGCCTTCACTTGTCCCGCCGGATGCATTCGCCTTCAACAGACACCCAACATGAACTTATGATTCGCACACCTTACCGTTTCCTCGTCGGCTCTCTCATGTACCTTGCTGTCGGCACTCGCCCAGATATTGCTCACACCAGTCCAACAACTATGTCGACATCTCAATTGTTACGGTCCCGTCCATTGGGAAGCAGCCAAACACATCGCAAGATATCTCAAGGGTTCCCGAGACCTTAAGCTTGTCCTTGGTGGCAAACATCCCGCACGTTTGCTTGGATTTACTGACAGCGATTTCGCCAACTGTCCCGATACAAGACGCTCAGTCAGTGGTTACTGTTTCACTCTCGGCAGTGGTATGGTCACTTGGAGTGCGCGACAGCAAAAGACTGTGTCCCTGTCGACTTGTGAAGCCGAATACATTGCAGCTTCTGATGCTGCTAAGGAACTCACCTGGCTATGCACTTTGCTCCTCAAACTTGACTTTGTCCAACCATCCGCAATGCCCCTTCTATGCGACAATACTGGCGGCATTACTCTATCTGAGGACATGTCATATCATTCCAAGGTCAAACATATCGATATCGCTGTTCATTTGATCCGCGAGTGTGTCGCCTGCAGACAACTGAAACTACTATACATCAAATCCTTGAACAACGCTGCGGATATCTTTACAAAAGCTCTCCCGCGAAAGGACTTCGAACATTTATGGCTTTGCCTGGGTCTACAGTGAGAAATCGAGGAGGAGTGTTGACGTTATGCGCACCGACATGATTAGTGGAGTTGAACGTTGAAATTCGAACCACCATACATATACCAATTCACGTTCTCACCTTCCCTCAGTTTGTTCCATCACAACTGAGGGTAAGCCTTTTTAGTTACTCGAACCGCCCTAGATACTAATGACTGCTTAGGCTGACATTGTGTCTAGGTACTTGATAATCTTAGTTTGTTCCAACACAACTGAGGGCTGACGTTGTGTCTAGCTCTAATAGGTATGGCTTTTACCGAGCATAACATACACCCTCCAGGTCCACTCAACGAGGGGACCTTCGAACAAGGTGAAGCGAGACATTTGGGGTCTAAGATCGAGTCACAGAAGCAAACACAGCTAAGAGAACAGCAAGGATGAGCACGTTGGACACCAATAAGCCAATAGAGATCAATCTACCAAACATGTCCTCACTAGTGATATGAGGCATGTGGCCAACCTGCTTGAGGTCAAGCTGCTCAGCAGCAGCAACAATCTCTGAGACATCTGGACCTGGATCAGGAACTGGGACGATGGGAGCTGGGGCTGGAGCAAGGATAGAGGAAGCATTCAGGGATGGTGAGTTTTGTGAACTTGTGGCTTTACTAAAGGGGGCCCGCAAGGGTGACCACAATGATCAAGGGTCAAGTTGCATCCACAGGCATGATAGGGAGTGGCATGGTGAGCCCGCTCAGCCCAGACAAGTTGATCAAAGGCATGGGCCTCCTTGCAGATGGCTAGTTCCTCTGAGAGGGACAATTACTGCAATGAGTAAAAGAATAGGGGTGAGCTTGCTGGGATGGCTTACTCACTTGCACCTTGGCATGGAAGAAGCATGTAAAGGCACTGAGGGCGTCTGAGTCTTGCTCATGCTGGCGAGGAGGTCTGGGGTCTCCAGTAAACTTGCCAGGTTTGTGACTCATCGCCTGCTCATCGACAACCATGGCATTGACTGATGGGGGAATAGAGGTGGTGGAAGACATAGGTAAAGGCGGAGGAGAGGGATGAAGGCTGGAGTAGTTTTGATTCTGTTGGTCATTTAAATAGGTTGATCCAGGATGGCCTAAGTGAGGGACTGGAACCAAAGTCATCAATCATTCAGGCAACAACTCTGAAGACAGTCTCTTTTGCCAGGGGGAAGGAGGTGATCGAGTGAACGGGGATAGTTCGTGATGCCATAGAAATTTTCTTTGGCAAGTGTGCGACTCCTGGGGTGTCTAGTGCCTCCAGGTACTGGACTAGGGCTTCTAGGCGAGAGACTTGGTGGTATGGCAGCCAGACTTCATCTCCGGTAGCGTACTCAACCTCGAATAGAGCACCAGTGCCAGCACCTTGATGATTCACAATCCTTGCTACTGACCATTCTTCCAGCCATCCAATATTGGACACTTGTTCCAGCTGGCGTCCATGGAACTGGTGGTCATCATTTTGGATGTGCAGGTGCAGTAGGTGAGCATGGAAAGCAGGGTGCAATCCTCGCTGTTTAAGCTGCGGTGGTAAGTCCAGCAAGAAGGAATTATTCTTGTAATTGGTCAATATTTTGAATGGGCCAATGTACTTGGGGGCTAGCTTCTGGGCTTGTCCTTTTGGCAAGGACAAGTGCTCAGTAGACAGGTATACGAGGTCTCCCTTGACAAATGGAGATTCCATCCATCATTGGTTGGCGATGGCTGTGCTTTTGACTCGGGCAGGGATGATAGAGTCATGGGCATCCATTATTGCATCTTTCATACATTGGGTGAAGACACGAATAGGGATCAGCAGGGGTATGGGTAACCCCTAGGGGTCATGGGTAGGGGTACCCAGGGGTAAGGGTATGGGTAGGGATTTCATGACCTGTGGACCCGTGGACCACGGGTGGTACCCCTGAACTAAATAATGGACCTTGATTGTCTGTAACTTATATGGTACCACATCACAAATGCAAACTCTAGGATAAAACTTTTCACAACTATTCCTCCATGCCATCTCATCATGTTACCTAAACAGACCACACGGCCCACTGAAAAGGCCCTTGCGATGGCTGCAGAAGGCAGCCGAGCCAAGCAAAAGGCTAATGATAAACCTTCTACCCCCATGGAGATATCAAAACGTACAAAAGTAATGGCACCTGTTGATATTGAACAATCTAACAATACTACTACACCATCCATATATCGAGCTACAGTTTGAACTGAAGAAGAAGAAGCTACTTATTCAGATGCCATCATCATCGAGTCTGACAGTGATGGATCTGAAAAGAACAATATCGAAGTTGATGACCCTGCAGAATCTTCCAATGCAGAACTAGGTAGCTACCTGCTCAAACAACATTAAAAATTTAGTTAACAAGATTGTAGACAGGCTGATGACGGATTGGACATCACCTATATATGCTTTCTTCGAACCTACTCCAGAAATTGAATATCATGACAACCGTCGTTGTCACGTGTTCAAATGTGCAGTGCGGGGCTGCAAACACAAGGTTCGGCAATACCTCGATAAGAAAGATGCAAAATATACCGGAAACATGCGAAAGCATGTAAAAAGTTGTTGGGGTGAGGCAGCCTTGCAAATGGCAATGGAGCACAGGGACACTGCTGCTGCACAAGACGGAGTTGTTAAGGATCTGCTTGAGACAGGAACTATCAAAAGCTCATTCGAGCGAAAAGGTAAAGGCAAAGTTACCTACTCGCACAGACAGCATACTCACACAGAGACAAGGTTTGTTTTCCATCCACTTGACGATGTCACTACTGATAGGACCTAGGGCGGAGATCGTGCGTTGGGTGTCGGAGAGTCTAAGACCATTCGAAACTGTGAATGATCGAGGGTTTCAGAATTTGATGAAGACCGGGCGCCCAGAATATTACATACCTTCACCCTCAACAGTTGCTCGTGATGTAAAGCAAGTCTTTGTCAAGACTTGCGAACAAATAGCGCGGATGCTACAAGTAAGTCAAATGTAGTGCGGAAGATCAGCAAACTAAAGCAAATTACTAGAATTATGATGGCAAACTGAATTTCGGAACAGATGCCTGGACATCGCCCAATCACAGGGCTTATGTAGCCATCTCCGTGCATCTAGAGCATGAGGGTCAGCCATTCTCAATGATACTAGACATAGTTGAGGTAGCGAAGGTACATAAATACACTCGCCCAAAGTTCAAACACATGCTGACATATTGCAGTCTCACAGTGGCGCAAATCTTGCAGATGCATTTGCAGATATTCTAAAAGACTTCAGCATATCAGACAAGGTACTTAAGTTAGTCACTCCATAAAATCCTTACCTGACTGGGGCAGATATTGAGTGTCACAGCAGATAATGCGGCGTCCAATGATACACTTGTCGCAGAGCTTGCGGATCGAGTGGCGCATTTCGCTGGTGAGACAAACCAAACTCGATGCTTTTTGCATGTCGTGAACCTCGTGGCAAAGTCTTTAATTCGCAAGTTTGACACAAAATCAGGCAGTAGCACAGATCCAGAACTAGATAAACTTACTGGGAATATAGAGATTGAGGACACTCAAACAGCAGACGAAGATGCAAACAAGGACCAGGAAAGCAAAGATAATGACGAGGGTTGGGTTGATGAATTACAGCTGTTAAAAGAGGCTGAGCATGAGGAACTGATGGACAGTATCCGTCCAGTGAAGCTTGTCTTAGTGAAGGTGACAGTGTTAATAAGCGAAACTCACCTGCACAAACTAACACAGATCACAGCTATGAAAACTTGCATTCAAAATCATCCATTCGACGACTATTGTTCTGCCTGTGTGGAAACAGATCATCGAGGACTTGGATCTCTGTGTGCGAATCATGCCGTGTGATGTATCCACCAGGTGGAATTTGACCTTCGATATGCTCAATTTTGCATTGGAATACCGAGCAGCAATTGACAAGATAACAGACATGCGGAAATTGGGGCTTGGTGACTATGAACTGACCAAGGACGGGTGGGCTCTGGTTTGACAGTTGTGAGATGTGTTGAAGGTAAGAAGTGACACATGTGACGTGACAACACTAACAATGTTCAACACAGATTCTCAAAGATGCAACTTTATACTTCTCGCATTCGACACCAAACTTAGCTATGGTCATCCCTGCAATTAATCACATCGACCAAGTCTTTACTAATGGTATTGTCAAAAGCAGACGCTAGAACCTGCCATACGCACCGCACTTGGACTTGCAAAATGCACACTTAACCGGTACTACTCAATGATGGATAGATCTGAGGTTTATCATATTGCTATGGGTGGGTCTTTCCTCCTTACTTTTACTATGCCATACTCATTTTTACTTAGTTCTTCACCCTCGTCACAAACTCTCCTACTTTAGATCTGTAGGCTGGGAGCAGCAGTGGATCAAAACGGCTGAAAAACTCGTCTGAGATGAATTTTGGCACTCATATGCCTCCCGCTCAATCACGGTCAACACGAGTCCCCCAGGAAGTCAAGATATTGACGAGGTGCGTAAATTACATTGTCATATATGTTCTTACCACTGACACTAGCTTTAAACACTCAGGATGACGACTCTGGCAACATATTTGACCACCTACCTGCTCTCGCAGAACTCAACCCTGGTGCTCGATCCTCATTCAGCGAACTCGATGCATATCTCAATGCCAACATTGAGAAGGTTATGGATGCTATTGCATGGTGGCATGGGCACCGCAAGATGTATCCACGACTATCACGAATGGCGCTAGACTATCTCACCATCCCAGGTAAGTTTTTTTTTCGAGTGCGTGAATATTTTAATATTGTATACTACAGCAACATCTGTTGACGTGGAACACATCTTCAGCCGTAGACACTTATTACTTTCTCATGTCCAAAACAGGCTTACTGCACAGATGACACGTGCATTGCTGTGTGTCGGCCTGTGGAGCCAATTGGGTTTAGTCAGGGACAAGGACATCCAGTCTGTTGCAAGCCTTCCTGATGTTGATGGCGAGGATAATGAACTTGATGATGGGTGGGACTACATTAAATTAGACTAGGTATCACCACTACTGTATCATCAATCAATCATTTACCGTCAGCCCCACAGTCTTGCCCGCACCTCACAATCGCTGATCAACCGCATCGCACCACCGTGAATCCCCTCGACCTGCCAACATTCTCGCCAGAAAGGTCTTCTGCTGTCCATAAGCTGTGCATATGAATTGCATCACGGGTATACCTCTACCTGCGATACCCTTGACCCTTAGCGGACCCGCACAGACACCCGTACCCCTGGCTACCCATGGGTGTGCGGGTATGGGTACTTGAGGGGTAAGGGTACAGGTTGTCCCTTGGACACCCGTGGGTTTACCCCTGCAGATCCCTAGACACGAACTCCCAGGAACTCAGAGTTGGTGTTCCAGATAAGTGGTGGTGGGAGTCACCCGTAGTTCAAGATGAAAGGTGGGTATTTGGTCATACCTGAGCACACTGAGTTGATGGCGAATTCAATCGCGGGCAGCTTAAGTGCCCAGTCTCATTGGTTGGGAGATACCATCTGTCAAAGCATTTGGGTAATGGTCCAGTTAGCGCGCTCTGTCGCTCCATCAGACTGGGGGTGAAATGACGTCGACATTCTTAGTTCGACACCTGTGAGCTGGTGGAAGCATTGCCAAAAGGTGCTTGTAAAGAGGGTGTCCCGGTCACTAACAATGTTGGTAGGCATCCTGTGGTGCTTGTAGACCAGGTTGAACATCACTTCAGCGACATCTTTGGCTCAGTAGGTCTGCTTGGTGGCTGCCAGATGGACCATGGATGTGAGGTGGTCGATAGCCACCAGTATCATGTCGAAAATGCCTTGCAGCATTTTATACTCAGGGAGCGGGCTGACAAAGTCGATTCCAACCGTTTCCCAGGGACGCATTGGAACTTCAAGGGTCTCCAGTAGTCCATACGGTTGGTGGTTGGACGGTTTTGAGACTTGACATGTGGGGCATGATTTGCAGAACGCTTGGACATCTGATATCATGCCCTTCCACCATACATTTTCACGCAGGTGGAGTAGGGTCTTGGACTGGCCAATGTGAGCTAAAATGGAGTAAGCATGGGATATAACAATTTCCTGCACTCGCCGTTGGCCGATTTTGGTGTCTGGGATACACAGGATACATTTTCCCTTGTCTCTCAGGAATACTAGGCCGTTACTGACTTTGAAGTTCTTAAAGGCCACTGGACTTTGTAGGATCTTGGCAAAGAATGGGTCCTCATTGTACTTATGTGCTATATGCACATGGATATCCATGTTTGGGTCGCCCAAGGCGATAACCTCTGTTAGCAAGGGGGGGACGTGGACAACAGGTCCTGGGCAATGCTTGTTGATTCGTCTTCATGTTGTGGGTCTTTGTTTATCTGGGTGATGTCATTTCTGATGTCACCATTTTTGGATGTTCCTGGTGGTAGGCTTTCACTGTTTGATTCCTCGGTCACCTTCCCACCCTCCAGTGGTTTAGTGGGGGGTTTATCCAATCTCAAAACCACTTTCTTGACTTTGGTGATAGGTGAGTGGCCTTCTCTGCCTGCAACAGCCGTCGATGGCTTATGGTTTCCAGGTACTAAGGCAGGGCCCATAATATCCTGATCTACCGGGAGTACCATGTCGCCCTGGCCTTCCTTTGAGGCACCCCCCTTAGGTAACACTATGTTGTCCCTGGTGAGCGTGCCCATGGGGGCATTTTTGAGTGATCTCATGTCGTTTGCTAGCCCGCTGGCACTGTCCACCTTTGGCAGTTTTGAGATGATGGACAAGTTTGTTTGTTCGCCTGTTTCACTCACTCTGTTCACATCACTACTGACTCCTGGCAGTTTTGATATGACAAATGAGTTGGCTGGTTCATCCATCCTATCTCCACTCATCACTTGACCACTGACACTAGGTAGTTTTGAGATGACGAACGAGTTTTTGGATTCATCTGCCCTCTCTCTACTCTCCATCCCTCCACTGACACTAGGTAGTTTTGAGATGACAAATGAGTTTGTTGGTTTGTCTGTCTCTCCATGGTCCAGCACGCCACTGTCAACATCTGGGACTAAGGGTGCAGTGGGTCTAGGGTTCTGGGTAGGGGTTCTTTTTGCTGCTTTCCGGGCAGGGGCAGCATTGCCAGTCTTATTCATTATCTGCTCTGCAATCCAAGCTGATTGCTATGCCTCTGTGGCTCCCAGGAATAGGGGTGAACCAGTATAAAGGGGGGCTATGATGAAGTTGAGTAGGAGAGTTCTAGGTTCATCATCCTCCTCAATACTTACATACTCACTTGGGGACCTAACTGTCCCCTTAGGTTTGTTACTATACATCCTGGAGAGAGCATTGGCCAGGGTGTTGTCAGCCCCAGGAACGTAAGTGATTTTGAAGTCAAATTCACTCAGTGCCTCCAGCCACTGAGCCTGCCTAGGTGACAGTTTGCTCTGGGTGGTCAGCCATTCCAGTCCCTTGTGGTCAGTGAATATTTGAAATGGGATGCCTATCAGTAGGTGACGGAATCATTTTAATGATTCAACAATTGCTAACAGTTCTTGCTCATGCACAGGGTAGTTCTGCTGAGTGGAACTAAACTTCCCCAACCAGAATGCTATGATGTCTGCCTTCTGGATTGGGTCTCCTTGCGACAGGACACCACTAGCACCTGTGAATGAGGCATCTGTCGCTATGTTGACAGGCACGGAGCCATTAATTGCTGAAGGTAGGTCCAGGGCTTTCCACTTCACATTCCGGTGTGCATTAACGCATGCACAAACCAGGTCGAATGCTCATTGATCCATGGGCGTCCAATCCCACTTGGTAGTCAGGGCGGTTACCTTTGACAGGTGCTGCATGTGCACTCGCACTTCCTCACATCCCGCAGCTAGGTATCCGACTGATCCAATAAACTGCATGAGCAGTTCTTTCAAGGTGGGCGTTTTCCAGTGCAGGACTTTATCCACCCTGTGCAGGTTGAGGCAAATGCCGTCGTTATCAATCATGTGGCCCAGTATGGCAAGTTCACTCTTAAAGAATTGGAGTTTGTGATCACTCAGGTAGAAGTGATTGGTCCTTAGAGTATCAATCACAATTTTTACATGCTGGATGTGGTCCTCTTCTGTGTTGGAGTAGATGACAATGTCATTGGGGTAGATGTCCATGAAGACTCCTATGTGTAGCCCGAATATGTGATTCATAAGGGATTGGTATGTGGCCCCTGCATTACAATCTCCTATCTGCATGACATGACTAATCATTGTACCATCAGGGGTGGCAAACAGAGACTTAGGAACATCTTCTGGTACTATCTGAATCTGTTTGTACATATCCTTACCATCTAGTAGGGAACAAAATGGGTGAGACGTGACATTGCGGAGTATGGTCTCTATATCTGGTAAGGGGGATGCCAGCTTTCATGTGTTCTTGTTGCACTGACAAGTGTCAAGCACTGTGTGAAGGCGCAATTCACCATCCTTAGTCATCTTCTTCATCATGATCATTGGGACCACGTTGGTCCTGCTGAAAAATTCCCAGCATCCAGAACGGATGTAGTCATCCCACTTTGTGCGCCACAATGGACACATTGCCTCTGGGCACTTTGACTGACACCAAGAGTAAGCTTGACTCTCATCTATGAGAGGAATGACATGGTTGATGATTCGCAGGGGTGGCAGGGGAGTGTTGATGGCTTCCTTACAGATGTCCTGAGCATACTGATGCAGCTTATGTGAGTAAGTATCGATCTTATCTGAAGAGAGACTTGATTGGCGCAACTCAAGTACTTGAGTCTGGGCCCCGTGGATGGGCAGGGGATCCAGGCCTCTTATCTTTATCTCAGGAGGGTTGAACCCAAGTAGGACTTGGTGTTGGTGTAGGAATAGCATGCCCAAGATCATGTCATAGGATTCGAGGTTGGCGATGTTGAAGGTACACAAGCACTATTAAAAATGTCTTGGTAAGATAGTTCAACACTTGTTGTAGCCTTAACTGTACTGCAAGATCTGGACACAGCCAGCTGAAGCGGGATGGGTTTCTCCAGGAGCTCGAACTTCAACTTCAATTGATCGACAATGGTACTTGACACAAAATCTGTTAAGGAACCCAAGTCTGACAGAGCTCAACAGGGTTTCCCATTAAGAAGGATGACTACAATGATCGATTTTGGTAGAACCCATACTGAGGACTTGGGCTGAGCAGCTTGATGCTGAAGGGCACAGAGATCAGGAAGGTCAGCCTTAGAATGGTTCGCCATCTTGCAGAAGAGCTCACCTGTTTTGACAGGACCTTCCTCATCACTGGATTTGCAGCTGAGGAGCCCGGGCACATCTTCGTCATTGTTGATGACTTCAAACTGAGGTGAGGGGAGGTCTACCTCTGGGTCAGTGATCACCATGTCTCTGCCCTTGTTATCTGTAGTGACCCATTTGTCATCACAGTACTTACAATTGATTTCGCGGCATCCCGAGTTGGATGAGCTGTCATAGATATCCTCATACAGGTCTCCTCTGGAGTGAACCATTCTGTCAGGAATTGCTCTGCTGAACCAGGTAGGTCTGAATGAGGACTTCATTATGATGAGGTCACTATAGTTGCGCAGTTTCAGGTTGGTCAGCCAGGGCACTATGTCGAAGTCCGGGTCACACAATTGTGAGTAGTAGACAATGTAATCGTCATAGTTATGCTTATCTGACAATAGGTATGTGTCTGGGCCTCCCCAGTTAGCCAACTGGAAGCAGTCGGGTCCCAGCAGGTCATAAATTGGGTTGTGCAACTCATCAGTTGGTAGTGGGACAGCCATTCTTAATAGGGACAGGGCCCTTTCTACTACCATGAGGTGTTTGGCTGCCTCAAGAGCTGGCCACAGGTCACTATCATCGGCCAGGCCAACAGCGAATTCATACAGCCCTTGAGCAGTACCCTCACTGAGAGCAGCAGCTCGGATATTGGCTGCAGTGACCCCAACTGCGTTGAATTGGAGGGCAGAGACTCAGTTGGAACATTGAGGGGGAGATGGTGCCTTCACGGGCAGTCCTTAGCTAAATGGCTAGTTTGTTCACATTTGAAGCACTAATTTAGTTCTCTCAGTCTTTGTATGGCATCTGCACTCTTCTTAGGGCGATCTGGGGCATGAGGAGCATCCTGCATTCTGGTAGTATTCCCTGGGCGTCTGTTATCCTGGGAGTTAGACGTGCTTATGGAGTTTGCTACCAGGGAGCGAGTGTGGGGTCGTCGATCGTGACTCCTCTGGTAATGGCCTCATCTCTCAACAGATGAGGCCTGGTTGGCGATTCCTGCAGCTAGGGTGGGGTTCAAAGCAAGTAGGACATTTGGGTTGCAGGCATTTTTGATAAAGGCATGCTTGGTGTACAGAGCTTTTCTCTCAATTGTGTCCATACTGACCGTGCTAGGGTCATAATCTTTGTTGACAAGCAAGGCCTTGATATAGGGCTAGCAGTTCATCCAGAGCTGCTGTACCAACTCCCACTCACCAACATCACTAGTGGTATCTGCAAGTTCTCGAAGTTGATGTATATAGTCACACACCGACTGACGTCCATCCTGCTTACAGTCCAGGAACTTCTGTCATTGGACCATCGGGAATACATAATTGAACAGCTGTTCAAAGAAATTGGTGAGTGAGTACCTTTTCTTAAGGTCCAGGACATTACATTCATAGAACCGGTAAGCATTTCCTCCCAGGTACTTTCCTATCATGCATAGGCTTTGCTGGGTAGATAGTTTCACTCTGTCACACCATTCTCGGACCTCGCAAACCCATTTCTTAAAAACTGACGAGTTGGCCTCACCATTGTAGGTAAATGGTGGCTCATGTTCAAGAAATCCTTGCTGATATTTTAGCAGGGACAATTGAGCTCGATGCTTACATCAAGCAGCTCGTTTTGCCCATTTTGTTTCATCTGAGTCACTGTCGTGTTCAGATTCAGGTTCCATTTCCAGGAGCCTTGCATTGAGGTCATCGGCTGAGTCCTCCTTGTTATTTTGTTTCTTACTTGTTAACAGCTTGCCTTTCAACTTGCTCACAGGCCTCGGCCTAGGTTCCTCATCTGAGAACTGTTTGCTGTTGTCATCTGAGTCTGATGAGGAGTCAGATGACAATGAGTCACTAGGATTGCTACCCACTATTGCTTGCTTAACCGAGCTTTTATTCAGGAGTAATGACGACGCCCTCCAGTACCTTGTGTCGCTCTTTGCCTGGTCGTTCTGGCGAGGCCTAATTATGCTTGGTGGGTCATTTTCTTTAGATGGGGCGGCATTCTCGCTCCTGCTATGCTTATTGGGGCATTCATTCGAGGTTTCAGGGGCTTCTGAAATGGGGGGGACAGTGGAGTCACTAAGGGCAGGGGCACGGTAAGCATCATTTACTAGTTGCTGTGCCATTTCCTTATGGGTCTGAGACTGAATGACCAGCTTTTCTAACTCGCGGACCCTCTCCTGGAGGTTGTCCACTTCAAGGCACTTCTCAGAGAATTCCTCCCTGGCCATCTCCCAAAAACAACAGAGGACCAGGTTCTGCATCCGGATAGAGCCTTGGCAATTTTCATCGTTCTACAGTTTGGCAAACAATTCATCCGAGTTGTTGGGGCCTGGTGTGCACATTTCAGCCATGTTTTCATTGAACTAGGTCCAGTCTCCTAACCAATCAGTTTAACAGCTCTTTCTTTGGGGGGCCGCCCTTCCCAAGGGGAATTTTACTCAGTTTGGGGCTGGTTTCAGTTGGGCTCAAGATTGGGTCTAGGACAGAGAACTCTGGTATGTCACCCAGGATCCTCGTTTTCATATGAGTCTGACCAGTCAAATACCTCCCATAGGTGGGGGGCTCTTTCATTTTTAGGTAGTCTACTACTGGTGGGGCTGCTCGCAGTGTCCATAGCCTGTGGTGGATTAGGATCCATCGGGTTTTGGTCCCTCAGGCCTGATCCATGGGGTGGCTCAGCCAGATGGCTGCCCAACCCCTCGTTTCCAGAGACAATGTCATTGTCTCAAGACCATGTGTTTTGTACTCCAAGTCCATTAGTGCTGGCATCAACACTTTGTGCCCTCGACCTGGTCGAGGGTAGCAAAGAGGCATTGCCTAGTGCACTAGAAGGCATGTCTACTGATATTGATATTGGGGTTTTTGTTTTCAGAGGGTATAAGAGTCGGGGTTTTGGAGGGTGATCAGTCCTCCTCGATGACGACTATAGCAAAAGGATAGATTTTAGGTTTATGGCAGTTAAAAATATGTGGCACTCAGAGAGTGTTCACATGGCAAGAATGAGTTGAAGGCGAGAGAATACACTTAAGGATTCAGACAAGGTAACTGTCCAAACTAAAATGTATTCAGTCAGGGGAAGATCAACTACCTCTACAGTAGATCAATACAAGTTTAAATACTGTAGAACTATGAAACTGATGTAATCAAATGGAAAGAGAGAGAACAGGAAAGAACTAAGTGTGTGCCAATGAGGATATTGTCTACTGATGGAGACCAATATCTGGGTATGGCTTTTACCAAGCGTAACACACTGACTGAGGGAGTGTGGGCTTTCCATAAAATCTAGACTTATTTAGTATCTGGAGGTGGGGCTCCGGTGCATATTGTTCTTGGGATTCTAACTTCCTTGCTGTTGCACCGTGCTTCCTTTGCCCAAGTTCCTTAACAATTGGCATCCCAGTTGTCTCTTTTGTGGTCCAGATCACAATCGGTTCTGACTGAAGTGTTATTACGAACCATGTTCCCTTCAGCTGAGCTATACTGACGGTCTGGACTTTGACCATTGCTTAGATTGTCAGTACATTGAAAATCTGCTCAGACCTTTATAAACCTATTTGGCTGGTGTTGCATGGTCAAAATAGGCGCTGGCGCTGAGTGATAAAGTGCTCAGCACCTGGATCTTGTCAGCGCTCCCATCCTAAAGTTACTCCTCATACATGATAAGTCTTTCACGATTTGAAACCATTGCATCTATTTTGGTCCAGCCATTCTACAGGAAACACCATGCTGTAAGTACTCTGCATCTAGTGGAAAGATGCTGTTTTAGTGACAGTGGTGGACCATAGGTACAGTCCATGTGGAAAAATGTCTTGTCACATCTCATAGGCCACTGTCCACAAGGGGTCAGGCGATGGAGCCCACAATGTCATGACCTCCAAAAGTGGTCACACCCAGGTGAACAAATCACAAGAAGACCTGTGGGTATGTGGATCATTGTCAGATTGGTTATATAAGACCCAGTGTTGTGCAAATGCTTGAACACCACCAACAACTTTAATCATGCATTGCACTCTTAATCTGAAGATATCATATATGCTGTATTAGAACACGTCAAGTTCTCTGCGAAGGACTTGGTGAACATTGTGGCGGTTAGGTTTGGCTGGTGCTCTGTTTGGCCTGGTTAGGCAGTGGCTGGTGTCAGCAGGTTGCGAGAGGCTTGAGTGTAGGCAGGTTTAGGGCCAGTAGCAGAGTGGCTGGTGTTCCAGGAGGTTTAGTTTGGGCAGGCTTGTGTCAGCAAGAGGCACGAGGTCAGGTGCATGTAGGCTCGGAGGCAGTAGAAGCAGAGTGGCTGTTCAGAGTCGTCGGAGGTTGCCGAGCGCAGGGTTTTAGAGAGAGTAGTCACATGTTGTTGGTCTTCAGGCTTGTTCCATCTTGTTGCTGCAGTGTGCAGGGTGTGTGCTTTGTGTCACCATTCCAATGTGGTAATGAGCTACTCCACACTAGCAGGTCCTAGCCCTCAATATCCTCTGGTCTGAACAGTCAAGTTTGGCACCCCTCATTATGTGTCTACCACAAGACACCTGGAAGGTCACAAAGGACCAAATTATTGTGAGTGAAGTAAGCCATTTGAATCTTGACAGGACAATCCTCACTGTACTCCAATTTGCAGGATCTTTACAGAGCCAGCTCCCACTGAGTGGGAGCACCTCAGAATGAACGCATCAAGAGTATGCTGGCTCCATAACAATAACTTCCTTAGTGCGCTTCCCCCAAAGCCACATCTCATCCTGAGTTGTTGTGCCCTACAGAGGATTTTCAAGCAGTTCCCTCCCACCACACTCTTCCCAAACCATGTTGCCCAGATTGGAAGTGCTAAGGTTTGATGTACTTAGAGGCGTCTTGACATATGAATTAGAGCAATTGCTTGATGCTCTTCCCACAGAAGTGTATGGCCTGTGCCAACTGTCGATACCGGCAGGCCTGTCATATCCCGTATTCCGGACCTACGTCTGATGATGTTCCCACGCCTTCCGGATGCACATCTGGACCTCCATACCCTTATCCATAACTCCATACCCTTATCCATGACTCCAGGACTCCAGTCCACTATCGGTTCGGATCTGTATACCTTCGTACATCCATATATCCATACCTCCAGACCTCCGCAGCTAAGCCTGCTTCATCCACCCTTGACCCTATCGGGTCTGAGCTCATTCCATCTCGGACTCTACCTTCTCTAGACTATCGGTCTATATCCACAATTCATATCCTAGTCTCATCTTTACCTAGATCTCCGGATCCGCTCATCCGATATCCAGACGCCTCATCCAATATCTCTAGACCTCTGGATCTGACCTATACTCATATCCAAAGCTCAAACCTTAAATCAGCGTCTATCTCCTTATGGTAATCCCCTTGACTCTGGACTTTGGTTATTTGTGTTTCCATCTTGCTTATTGATTCTTGTACTCTGTTCATCTCCGAGTTCATTTACTTATGTTCCATTCATACTTACCAATATGTTTCCACATGCTCGTACATAGCATTTGTGTTCAGCTTACTGATCCTCTCAGATCCCTTCCAGTATATAAACCTCTGTACAACTCCTGTAAAGTTTCCTTAGTTTGAATATCAACATAGACTTGCTCTCTCTTGCATCTGCTCATGGACTTTGGTCCATCTTAGTATTGCCTTTCCTTAGGCCTAGGGAAGGATTCCCTAGGCTGACTTTCTGGTCCTCTGTATTTATCCTTCTGTCTACATCCATGCTTAGGGATTGACTCCCTAAGCCAGAGTTTTGCCTTTCCGGCACTTCCTGTCTTTCCGAGACTTCTGTCTACTCTCTGTCAACTCCATCTCTACTTAAGTGTAGTCTCCTCTGTTTGTTTCTACTCCGGACCTTGTCCATAGTAGCCTTTCTCATCCTGTCCTAATCTTGTCCGCCCCTCTGGTCCTCCTAAACCTTCAGACCTTCAGACATCATAACCTTCGGATGTTGTACCCTTCGGACATCATAACCTTTGGATGTCATAACCTTCAGACCTCCGGACGTCCTGTCCTTCAGACCACTCCTCCTATCCTATCCTGTTTTGGACTCTGTCCATTGCAGTCCCTCCTCTATGTGTTTCCATCTAAGAAGCTTACCATGGGAAGTCCTTCAGCACTCCACCAAGAGTAGCCAGCCTCCGGAAGTCCTTCAGACTTCATTGGATACCATCCAGACTTCATTCTGAAATTAAGGGCACGTACTTGGGTAAGGGGCACAGCATACGAGCTGAGGCCAAGCCCTTCAGATCCATCAACCCTTGAGCTATGGTCTTAACAGGGCCATGGTACCATGACTTTTACAGTTCCTCCGAGTTTCAGAAAGCTGTCCAAGTTAATTATATTGAGCATTCATGGAATAAATGTGTGCCTGACAAGGCAGACAATCACTAATATCCAGCACGCTCGGTGTCTTCAAACTGTCATATCCTGTGCCACGGACCTATCCCATGATATTCCCACACCTTCTGGATGTACATCCAGACCTCCATGCCCCCTGTACAAGCCTCCAGACCTCTGATCTTCTATCTGTCTGGATCCCTGCACCCTCGCACATGCACACATCCGCATATCCTCATCCATGCACCCCCGTACTTCCACATATCAATACTCCCATGTTCCGGACCTACATCCAATAACATTCCCATGCCTTCCTGGACATGCATCAGGACCTCCATACCCTTATCCATGCCCCCAGACTTCCAGTCCACTATCGGCCCAGATCCATTTATCTTCGCACATCCAATATCCAGACTGCCTGACCCGATGTCCGGATCCATACCTTCATATCCAGATCTCCGGATATCATCTGTATCCATCCCTGAACCCAGAACCTTAAATCAGCATCTATCCCCTTATGGTAATCCCCTTGACTCCGGACTTCAGTTATCTGTGTATCCATCTTGCTGATTGATCCTTGTGCATACTTCATCTCCGAGTTCATTTACTTATGTTCCGACTCACTTACTAATGTGTTTCCACATGCTCATACATAGCCTTAGTCCCTCTGCTTACTGATCCTTTCATATGTCCTCCAGTATATAAACCCTTGTACAACTCCTAGAGTTCCTTAGTTCAAATATTATCTTAGACTTTGCTCTTTCAACTTAGACTTGCCCAATCTTCTTCTGGACTCCACTCCATCTAAGTCCTGCCTTTTCCATCAAGGCCTAGGGATGGATTCCCTAGGCCGGAAATCCGGACCTTCGGATATGTCCCTTATGTCTCCGTCCTGAGTCTAGGGATTGATTCCCTAGACCAGAGTTTTGCCTTTCTGGCACTTCCTGTCTTTCCAAGACTTCTGTCTAATCCTTGTCCCTCCGACTTTACCTAGTGTAGTCCTTCTCTGTTTGCTTCTACTTCAGACTGCATCTGATGTAGCCCCTATCCGTTGTGAATAACACAACCTGACTAGGCACTTGTAAAGGTACTAAGCCAGTATATGTCTAAGCTCTGCCTATGCTGCTATACTTGCAAACAATAAGCAAGAATGTTTGACCCAAGGGAAAAGCTACTAAGGACAACTTAAGATAGAAAGACCTGAAAGTGCGCTATAGCGCAGGAAAGTGCATTGCAAGATACAGCGCTAGTGCATGGGAAAGTATGTCACAACTATAGAGCGCTATGGCACAAGAAAAGCGGAAGTGCGGGTCACTAGATGGTCGCTATCGGGTAGCTATCAGGTTGCTAATGCGTCGGTAGTGGAGCGCTAGTGCGCGGGAAAAGCAGGAGTCAAGAAAAGCGGACACTGAGTCAAAGGAGGGTGCTGGATAGTGAGTGAGATCAAGGGTATTGATTGCAAGGGTAAGGAAAGTCAAGGTAAACCAATAGGGGCTATAGAGCGCAACTAAAGGTGACTACTTCTAAGTAAAACCTAAGGAGAAGGAAATACAGTTGAAGGGAAGTAATGTTGAAAGTAGTCACCATAGGCTTCTCATACTAGTAAACTATACCATCTTGGACTCAGAAGGGATAGGATATACATGTAATAAGACTGTAGCACTTTTACAAACTCAAGGCAAGGCAAATTACATACCAATGAGGTAGGATGAACAATGGATGGATTCCGACATTTCGGGTGGATCCTAGAGCGCGAGAACAGCGCGCTGAATAAGTGCTAAGTGCGGGAACAAGCACTAGATAGAGCGGACATGCACTAATGCTCCTATAGACACATTGCTGGTCGTTCTGATAGCGCTATAAGCGCAGGAATAGCGTCGGATAAGTCGCGGGAGCATGAGTAGCGCTGCAGGAAAGTGCGGAATAGCGTTGGACAAGGGTTATGGCTGAGACAAGTGAAAACTGCTGACAGGGGAGCAGTGAATAATATGAGGGATAACTTTGGTCCACCTATTAAGGCTTATGCAGGTATACATGCCTAGCGCCAATATGATTGTCACACCATACTCCGTACCCCCGGAACTATATCCTGTCCTCCTGTCCTTTGTACCTTCGGCCCTCCGGACCTATCCTCCTGATGTAGTTCCACTCTACCCTGCTTTGGACTTTGTTCCTTGCAGTCCCCCTTCCATTCTGTTTCCTCTAGAGGCAATACCTTAGGGTCTCTCTACTTCCATGCAGTGGAAACTCCTCTGGACTTTCCTGTACTCCTCCAGAACTCTCCCGTGTTCCTCCGGACGTTTCCCACGCTCCTCCGGAAGTCCTCCAGCACTCTACTAGAGTAGCCAGCCTCCAGAAGTCCTTCGGACTTCGTCAGACCATCATTGGACTTCATCTGAAATCAAGGGCACCATACTCGGGTAAGGGGCACAGCGTACGAGCTGAGGCCAAGCCCTTCAGATCCCGTCGATCCTTGAGCACGGTCTTAACACAAACCCTCATGCTTACTTTGCGTGGGACCTCCAATGATGCAGGTGGTATGCCCCTTGAATTGCATAGTCTCGAACACCTCTGTCTCTTTGGCAGTTCCTTACCACAGTGCACACACTTCATTCATCAAATCACCACCTGACAACTATCATATATCAGTATCAGGTACTCCAAACCTGCTTCCCCAACCAAAATCATCGCATTTGTGGAATTATTGTCCACCTTGTGCCAAATTGGATCCTTGAAACAAATCTATGTGATGGACGCATCAGATGACTGTGACCCTAAGCTGGTCATCGCACTCCCCTCCGAAATCTTCTGGCACTTGATCAAGTTCAGCAGGCTGTCATCTGTCAAATTCATCGGCATTGGAAATTACAATCTTGACGATAGGTTCATCAATGATGTCACAGTTGCCTGGCTGAAAATTTGGGCATTGAAGTTCGCTCCAATGAGATGTGCCAGTTATACCATCACCTTCACCGCCATGATATCGCTGTCGTCAAGGTGCAGATCACTCCACACCTTACATCTGACGCTTGATGCTACACAATCAACGACAATTCCTCAAGCACCGGACGGGATGGAAGATCTTTGGCCCATGCAAACAGCCCTTCGAAAGCTGCATCTTGGACACTCTGAGGTGTTGAAAGTTGTGGGCATTCCATATTTCCTAGCTGAGGTGTTTCCAACTCTATCAGATTTCAAGTCGTACTATTGCTACTGCAATCCCAATATCGATAGGATTCAATCAGGACTGTTGGAAGCATGGGGACAACTAAGGTTACTTCAGAAGGGTGAGGAATTGGAGGAGGAGGAGGAGGAGGAGAGGGTGAAGGAGGATTCAGATGATGATGCATAGTCATGGGAGGTTCCATCATAACACAATCAAGATTGTATTTATACTATGTTGATGTAGCTGCTGTATGTCTGCTCTGTAGTGCTTATGTTCCTGGTATTGCTGTATACCTGAAAGCAGTAACATTTGAAAAAAAAAAAAGTAAATTTTGCTGTGGTTCGCAGTCTATTCTATCTCATGACCACCCTTAATTAAATTGTGTAGTTTCACTGGGCTCACACTATGAGTTATGGATACAATATACCATGTGCTCACGATCTTTCGTTCCCAAAGATGCCTACCAGTCTGCACAAGATGCATGAGAAGTCCTGTCTTTAAAAATCACTTCTTCTCCATCCACCACGCCAACAGTAATAGAGAGGGCAATGCAAGCTTGATGCACAATGGAAAATAGTATCGCTTTCAAGTGAGGCAGCAGGATCAAGCAGACGCGCACTTCCTGATTCTGAATCAAAAGGTTAGGAAATTTCCTTAGGGATGAATTTGTTTTGCTTATCTATGTCTGCGAATGTCCCACTGGTGAGAGTGAGAACCACCACAACAGTCTACAGATAAGGGGACTCAGAAATCACAAAAATGGAGCCTTCAAAGTGACATATATTGTTGCAGGTAGTAGTAGGTCTAAATCAGATGGTCATACCATCTGGTTCCGACTCACTCCTACCTGCTACATAAGTAAATGATGTTGACGAAGGACGTGTAAGTGAGAGAGATTCAGTGTGTTGAATCCACTGAGCTCTGACAAGCGACATTTGAAGGTTATTAACTGAAGGGGTGATGAAGTTGATGACACGATAGAATGCGTCTCCCAGCGTCCACTCTCCAAACGGAGGATTTGTCTTTACCATTGAGCCTGGAAAAGTGCAGTGGTGCATGATGCAGGGAGGCCAGGTACTATGTCAAGGGCGAGTGGCTGAATGCCAGAGCGAGTGGAGAACAGATCATACATGGAAGAAATAACTTGAATATTTGGTGCCCTAGTCATTGGGAAAAACTTGAAGAACTTGGATATGCAAACAGTGCCTGCATTAAATTTGCACCAAATCGATGGTGAGGACCAGGGGCGAGCTGACAAAATCAGTTGACAAAGGGGGCTGCATGGTGTAGCAGTACCTGTCATATCCATGCATTCAGATCTCAGATCAGATCCAGATCCGATCCACCAATCTGATATCCGGTCTACAGATCTGGTGTCATGCATGGTATGCAACTCATACCATGACAGATACACAAGAGGTGTGATAAGGAAGGTATAATAGACCCTACTGTATCCTATCACCAAGTTACCCCATCATTTTCCCCTAGTTATTAGCTAGTATTTTCACTTTCAAACTTCACTTCCATTTTTCCATGTATTTCTATTTTGTTCTATGACATTCCATCTCTTTCTATTTTCCTCAGGCATATTCAGCCAACAGACTTTCTTTTCAGCCACGAAGCATGTTTGTAAGCATGTCATGTGACTGGTAGATATCATGATTTGTAAAGATTGAGCTTGACTCATCATGTTTTGTAAGATTCCTAACTGTATTTATAAGCTACTTAGTAAGAAGGCTGATTCAGCACACCAAATGGCATTGTTAGTAAGCACATCCTTACCAATCCATGTGATGACTCATGCCATGATTCATCATACTTTGTAAACTACACTGTATTTATAATGTAAATTAGCAAACAGGCTGACTCAGTACATCAAATGGCATTGTTAATAAGCACATTCTTACCAATCCATGTGATGATTCATGCTTTGTAATCAGGGCCTCCAAAAGATATATGAGGAGCTCAATTTTGCCATGTAATAAATGGAGCACTTCCCACTTCACTCATCTCAAACAGTGTGAGATTAAGTAAGAACCTAAGTACAGGCAAATCATTAGCCTCAAAGTAAGACTAAGAAACATTTATTCAATTATATACTACCTTACAGGGGTTGATTATATAATATATCAGCTAATCTAACTAAGTTTAACTCATACTATTTTCCTCTCTCTTTTACAGGAAGGGAGACATGATTCATGCTACACATTCTATGCTACACGATACACGAGCACACTAACTCTCAGACACAAATCATACCATAGACTCAGTATACAGAATCAAATTGTTTTAAACTAACCAAGGAACAAGGAAAGAAGGTATATTGAAATAAATCCTCCCAAGAACTCACACATTATCTACCACAAAAACTAGAAAAGCCATAGACTGTGTACTTAAGGACTGGCAATAAGTCTTATCCTGTATAGTTGTGTTGTCACTATATAAGTGGCGTACATAAGACCCTTAAGTAAGAGGACACTGGTCCGCTGATCAGATCCTGACGAATAATACTGCTATCCAGTCCACAATGCAGTTTACTGGTCCACAACTCATTTCCAAGCCCAGAACCTTAACTCAGCATCTATCTCCTTTTGGGCGTTACCTTCTCTGGTACACTGGTTATCATCCCTTCCGCTTTGCTTATTGATCTACCCTGTGCATTCATGTCCGAACTTCATTTCCTTTGATCCGTTAGACTTACCATTAGACTTTCCACATGCTTTGTACATAGCTTTGTTCCGTGCTGACTGACCATTCTGTTATGCTACCTACAGTATATTCACTCGTGTACAACTCTGTAGAACCTTAGTTCAAATATCGTCTTAGATTCTGCTCATTCCTGCCTCTGTCCAAACTTGAGTTCTCTCTTGTTCACCTCTGGTCTTAGGATTGATTCCTTTGACTTATCTCTGACTCTACCTTAGGGTAGTCTTTCTCTGTTCCGCTTCTAGTCTATGACTTTGTCTGGACTAGCCTTTACACTACTCGTCTGATATACGGAAGTCATCCAGATTGACTCTACGGTACTCATCCACTCTTCTGAATGTGGTACTTTAGCCTTCTAAAATCAAGGGCAGTACTCAGGTAAGGGGCACAGCATACGAGCTGAGGCCAAGCCCTTCGGATCTGACACCTTTGAGCATGTTCTTAACAGTACCATTGCCTGCTTACCTGGATAAACTGGGAAAAAGCGAGACAAGGACTCAAGTTCGAGCCCTGCCCCTGCCCCAGAGGAAAAATCAGGTTTAATTTTCTCCAGTTTCAACCGCTTATCAACTGTGATCCCCACACAGCCATGAAACATCACTACCAAATAAACCTATCTCTGCATTCAGAAGTGCAAGTAGTCCAGCGGGAAAAACCGATACCGGGAACTGAAGGTAGCATGTGGAGTGGGGGGCCCACACGTCCGGGAGTGGTTAACCTGAGAGCTATCTAAGTACCAATTTCGGCCCCACACTGAGGCACATCAGCGCCGTTGTTAGCCAGGAGGGAATAGGAGGGTCTAGAGGTCATGTGGAGGTTGAGGGGTCACATGATTCACTACTTATCCTTGAAAGAAACATGTTGGAAGAGTTGTACGGGAAATGGGGGGGGTGTACTGATACATTGGGAAGTCATGACCACCACAAAATTCCACCTTTAGCAGGCATTACCATCCTTGTTCACACTTGGACCATTGTAAAAGTCACACACTATGATTACAAAATATGCAGTTACCAATACCCGTATGTACTGTCTAACATAGGGCCTTGCCCCAACAGACAATAAACAAGGATTAAAAAAATAAAATAAAAATCAGTCGACAAGGCAGTGTCTCCAAA